ACAAAGAGTGAAAAATTTAAGGGGGTCTGAATACTTTCCGTACCCACTGTATATATATATATAATTTATTAGGGGTTAAACAGATGGCAGTTGATCTGTGATAAGTACGGACCAGGCACAACAGTGCGGCAAGCAGGTGATTCACAGATTAATTTGCCAATTTACACATTCAAGCGATTTTAAACCACAAGAAGAAGCGCAAGAGGATTAGTTACTAGCGCTGTTTTTCAAAGCGCGCGCACACACACAGAGACGCGTTTCAGACAGCGCACGAATACAGAGCTGATTCCTCTTTCACATCTCCTTATATATATATATACATATACTAGACTTGTGCCGGTATTCGGTAATGCGATATATCACGGTAATGAATATGCACGATATTGTTATAGTCAGCTGCTCTACTTTCTGTTTCTGAATCTTGTTTAAATGATTTAAACAGCCATTCAGATTTGTGTATTTGCTATGATGTTCATCACTGCACCAAATACTTAAATATTTAGACTTAATAGCCTATTTATTTTCAATCTTTTTTTACATTTTAATCTGGATTACAACATGCCCTAGATATTGTTTGAAAGTGTTTTGATTCTTTATTGTTCGGTCACTTTACATTAGGGCTTCATTAGTTAACATTAGTTAATTCATTAGTTAACAAACTGCCAATGAAAAATAATTATGAATATGAACATTAATTAATCTTAGGTATTCCAATATTTAATAACACGTTGTTCAAATTGAAAGTTGCAACTGTGTTATTTAATGAGCTAACATGAACTAAGACTTAACTAATAATTAATAACTTCTGTAGCAAATGTAGCTATTGCTCATTGTGAATGTTAATGCATTAAATAAGGTTAACTAATGAGCTCTTATTGTAAAGGGATACCTATTGGTCTTTATAGTTCTTTTGCACTTTAATCTTTGTAAAACTTTTAGCTTTATACCTTTTTCTGTATTGCTTTATTGCATTTAAATGTTCAGTTATTTTTGTTATAAGAAAAAAGTTATTAAACCTGTTATACTGTATAATGACAGCACTTTTTTAAACTAAATTTCAATACCGTGATAATACAGTACACCGTGATAAAAGCATTAGCAATTAATCGCAACATGAAAATTTGATACCGGCATATCCCTAATACATACACACACACAAACCTGCTTCAGCTGGTCTGTGAGAATATTTTGAAAACGTAACCGGTCTGTGGTGTAAAAAAGGTTGGAGACCCCTGCTCTGTACAATACAGTTTGTTTCAAAGCAGCTTTACAGTTACAAACAAGAAATACTGTTCTCACACTGGATTTAAAGGTACCCAAAAATGAAAACTCAGTCATCATTTACTCATCCTCAGGCTGTTCCAAACCTGTATGAGTTTCTTTCTTCTGCTGAACACAAAAGAAGAGATTTTGAAGAATGTGGGCAACTAAACGGTTTCTTGTCCCCATTGATTGCACAGTATTTTATGGACAAACACCTGTTTGCTTATCAACATTCTTCAGAATGTCTTTTGTGTTCAGCAGAAGAAACTCATGAGGGTTTTTACATCTTTGACACACATTACAGGAACACAGAGTGAAACTCACTGCAGTCTTTGAGAGGCTCATCGGAGCCGTCGCGGCAGTCTCTCTGACCGTCACACACACCGTCTGCGCTGATGCACTCGCCGCTGCCACACTTAAACCTGCCCGGCCCGGCACACGCATGCACTGCAGACACACAGACAGTTACAGACAGACACAGACAAACAGACAGACAGACAGTTACAGACAGTTACAGACAGTTACAGACAGTTACAGACAGACAGACAGACACAGACAGACAGTTACAGACAGACAGACAGACACAGACAGACAGCAGCTTGATCACATAGGCGTGCGTGACGCTCACCGGTGACGCAGTCCATCTCATCGCTGTGATCCCGGCAGTCAGGATTCCCGTCACACTGCCGCATTCCCGGGACACAGCTGCCGTCGTTACACAGGAACTCATCCGGACGGCAGGTGAGCGCAGCTGTGTCAGACACAGAAATGAGCGAACTGCAGGACACACCACGTTCTGTGCAAACACATCACACACAAGCCACTCACTGCAGTTGTGCTCGTCTGAGCCGTCTGCGCAGTCGCCGCTTCCGTCGCACCTCCAGCTGCCGTGGACACACTCACCGCTGGCGCACAGGAGCTCGTGATCGCGGCAGACCGTCTGCGGCTGCTGACCCGTGCCGCCTGCGCAGTTCTGTGGCCACTCGTCAGAGCCGTCTGCGCAGTCGGTGTCCCCGTCACAGGCCCAGAGCCGCGGCACGCACACAGAGTTATTGCACTGGAAGGAGCCGGGGCCGCAGGTGGGCGCGGGACAGGACGCCTCGTCGCTGCCGTCGTCGCAGTCGGAGTCAGAGTCGCACACGAACGACAGCGACACGCACTGACCGCTGCGGCAGCGGAACTCCTCGTCTGCGCAGGTCCTCGGCACTGAAACCAGACCAGAACAGAAGCATCCTGAACACAGCTGAGCACGTGACCTGTCATCTAGTAAACAAGAGCGTGAGAGCATTATATGTACCGCAGCCCTGCTCGTCTGCGCCGTTCTCGCAGTCAGACTTCCCGTCGCAGCGCCACCTGGTGGACACGCACTGATTGAGACGCCCGCCGCAGCTGAACTGACCCGACGAACACGTCTTCTGGCCTGCGGCGGAGAGTGAGCGTTAGCACACGGAGTCCTTCAAAGAGCTCATGGAGTGTACACTCAATCATCTCATCATGCAAAAGCAACTTTAATGAATGTAAACATCGCTAGTGTCAGTAATGAGGAGTGTGTGACTCACTGCAGGACTCTGGCAGCTCGTCGCTTCCGTCGCCGCAGTCGTCCGTCTCGTCACAAACCCAGCGGCTGGTGATGCACTTCCCGTTTGCACACCTGAACTGCTCCTGACTGCAGACGGCCGCACCTGACACACACACACACACACACACACACACACACACACACACACACACAC